GCAGCCACACACCCTAAACCCTATAATATCACTCCAGCGACAGCAGCAACAGCTGGCAAGCGGGAATTTGCTGCTAGGGTTTGCAACAGCAGAAAAGGCAGCAGCTAAAAAGCCTAGGGTTTAGGGCTCGAGCTTAGGGCTTACCAGCGGTTGACTTCTTCTCCAATGGCACAATCTGCGCAGGCCTCTTCAGTCAGCTCCCGCAGCCCCAGAGAGGAGGCATCGCTGGACTGAGCAGCAGAAGCAGCAGCAACAGCAGCAGCAGCAGCAACAGCAAGCAGAACGAGAATGGCCATCCTGTCTGCAGCGCAGAGTAAACTTTCTCTGCAGCAACGACTGCAGCTACTGCAGCATGTCTTGTTGCTGGAGCAGCAGCAAGAAATGCTGCAGGAGCTGCCAGCTGCAAGAGAACCGGCGGGCTATGCGCCATGCAGCAGCTGCAGAGCCTCCTGAGCGTCTCTAAGAGCACAAGCCTCCGCTTCAACTCTAGCAGCAGCAGCAGCAGCAGCAGCAGCAAAAGCACCAGCAAAAGCAACAGCAGCAGCAGCAACAGCAGCAGCAGCAGCAACAGCTCCAGCAGCGCGGCAGCAGCGGTAGAGCCTACTGTTGCATGCAGTGCAGCACTGAGTGCCGAAGAGGAGTAGAGGCCCCAAGCACCGGAAGCAGCAAGACGAAGAGGAAAGAACAAAAGACACAAACAGCCAAAAGGAGGACTGCAGCCAAAGGCCTCTCCCAAAACCCTCAAACACTCAGCCAAAGCAGCCTGAAGTGCAAACCCCACAAAAAGCAGCAGAAGGCTAACCCAGCTGCGGGGCCCGGGCGAGGGCCTAAACCCCAAACCCTAAATCCTAAACCCTAAACCCTGATGGCACAAGGCCAGCCCAGCTGGGTCCGGCGCAACCCTAAACCCCAAACCCTAAACGTTAAACCCTAATGTCTATGCCCTTGGTAACAGCGTGTCCTCTTCAAACGCCGCTGCGCGCTCTATACAGATTAGGGTTTAGGAACAAGGGTTTAGGGTTTAGGGTTTGAGGGTTTGGAGGCCGAAGCTCACAGTGGTGGGGCCCAGAAGCGGCTCGAGGCCTTTAAGGGTAATAAGAGTGACAATAGGAGCAGCAGCTTCGCCGTCTGCTGCTCCTGAGACACAAACGTCAAACCGTAAACACCAAAAGCTAAACCCGAAGGCCTTCCTAGGCCCCAAACCCTAAACCCTCAGACCTTCCTAGGGCCCAAACCCTAAACCCTAGGGGCTCGAGCGCGCTCTTGATTTTTAGCAAAGGCTTTGCCGCATAAGCGGCCGCTGCAGCTGCAGCAGCTGGAGGGGCTCGGCTGCAGCAGCGGAGCAGCAGTAGCCACGGCAGTAGCAGCAAACTCCCCCAAAGTTTGACTCCTGCTGACCTGCTGCACCTTCGTGCTGCTGCTGCTGCAGCCTGCTGCCGGGACTCCGGATAGAAGCAGCAGTGACAGGGTAAGGCACGCCCGAGTTGCCGCTGACAGCAGCAAACCTGCCCGCGAACAGCAGCAGCTGATATGGCAGCAGCCAGGCGAGAACAGACCGAACGGGTTCAGTAGCTCCTGTTGCTGCTGCTGCTGCTGCTCCTCCTCCAGCGGGCAAGCTTCCGTCTACCCCCATGAAACCACTGCTGACAGCGCCAGCAGTGTCTTGTTGTAGCTGTTGATGGAGCAGCAGCTGCTGTTGCTGCTGCGCGGCAGCAGCAGCTGCAGCAGCAGCCGGAGCCTTGCCTCCCGAACGCCCGGCTTTGCGTTGGCTGCTGAGAGCCTCGAAGACGAACACTTCGCGCATGCACTCTTCGTGTTGCTGCTGCTGCTGTTGCTGCCCTTCCTGATCTTGTGGCTGCTCGCATTGCATCATATCATCTTCATGTTTAATTTGCTGCTGCTGCTGCTGCTGCTCAGGCTGCTGCAACAGCTGCGTCCAAATGCTGTCGGGTGGCAGTTGCTGCTGCCACTGCAGCGGTTGCTGAAGCAGCAACTCCAGAGGGGCCCCGCGGCCAAAGACGCAGCAGCAGCTGTCTGCGGTGCCCTCGGCGCAGTCAGCACAGCACTGCAGCGGCGCAGCAGCAGCAGCAGCGGCAACAGATGCAGCAGCACCTGCAGCATCATCTGCAGCAACAGGAATTCCCTCCCTTTGCTGTCCCACAGCCCCCTTGAATTCTGTAGATGGTGCTGCCATTGCGGCTGCTCTTGAGTCAGGCACAGCAGCAGCGGTAGCTTCAGCAGAAGCGGGATCTCCAGCAGCAGCAGCAGCGGGATCTCCAGCAGCAGCAGCAGCGGGATCTCTAGCAGCAGCTGCAGCCGGATCTCCTGCAGCAACAGTAGCGAGGTCTCCAGCAGCAGCAGCTGAGGAAGCGTCAGTAGCAGCAAGAGGAGCTGGCGCAGCAGAGGGAGCTTTCGCAGCAGGAGCAGCAGCGGGAGCTTCCGCAGCAGGAGCAGCAGCGGGAGCTCCCGCAGAGGCAGCAGCAGCGGGAGCTGCAGCAACAGCAGGAGTGCGGGCTCCAGCAGCAGCGGGAGTTCCAGCAGCAGCAGCGACTCTTCGTCTTGCTGCTGTTGCCTCTGTGGTAGCTGCAGCAAGGGGCCGAAGCTTCGCAGCAGCAGCAGCAAACCGGCGAGTAAGGACTCCCGGCATGACAGCGCAGCAGCCCTCAGGTACATCTACAACAGTTTTCCAGTTTGAGTGCAGCGCGGAGTCTGCTGGTGCTGCTGCTGCTGCATCTCCCCCTGCTGCAGCTGCTGCTGCGCCCCCGTACGCGCTACAAGGCAGCGTGGGGAACCAAGGCGGACACGGCAGCGCCCCCTGCAGCGTCTGCAGCAGCAGCTGCTGCTGCAGTCGCCCTTTGCTGTCTCTGTACTGCTGCTGCGAGAAGAAAAGGCTGCTGCCGCAGCCGTAGGTAAGCCCAGACAAGAGAAAGGAAATGGAGAGCTTCACTTTCTGCAGCAGATGCAGCAGCAGCAGCAACAGCAGCAGCCGTTGCAGCAGCAGCAGCAGCAGCACAAAACGCCTGCTGCTGCGAAAAAAGATGGGAAATAGTGCTACAAAAGACACAAAATAAATAAACAAATGCTCTATTGCTGCAGTTGTGTCTCACATGTTTTACTGCTGACTGGCGCTGTCGAGACAGCAAAGTTTGCTGCACTGAAGCCGGCAGGTGTATGTACACCAGAGGCCGGGGGCTTTCGTCCCGCTTACTCTGCAGCAGCAGTCACCGACAACGGCCTAGGGATTAGGGTGTAGGGTTTAGGATTTAGGGCTAGGGTTTGAGGGGCCTACTCCACTCCCTAAACCTTAACACCTAAACCCTAAACCCTAAACCCTAAACCCTAAACCCTAAACCCCAGACCTCCCAAATGGAGCTAAAGACCTGCAAATTAAACCTTCGGTCTTGCGCTTTGTCCTTAGCTCGACAGCAAGCAAGGAAAAAAATACTCAGCTTATAGGGTTTAGGGTTTAGCGCTTAGGGTTTAGGGTCTAGAACCTACCCTGAGCGCCTCTCTCCATGCCAGAAGGTCAAGCCGAATACACTTCGGCCCGGCTTCCTGCTGCTGCTGTTGCTGCTGCTGCTGCTGGTCATCTTCATGCTGCTGGGCGCCCTCGAATCCAAGCTGGAAGACAGCAGGTGTTTTGTCTACCCAGCAGCCAAAAATGCGGCAGCAGGGTGGCAGCTGCAGCAGCAGCACACAGCAGCAGCAGCACACGCCTCCGCAACAATAGTGGCAGCACCAGCAGCAACTACAACGGCTGCAGCAGTTGCAGCAGCAACTGCCGCAACTGCGGCAATTGCAGCAATTGCAGCAACCGCAGCAGTAGCAGCAGAGAGCAGCAACTGTAACCGCAACACCAACAGCGACTGCAGCAGCAGCTGTGGTAGCAACAAACTTCAGCAGCTGCAGCAAGTGCAGCAGCCGCGGCAGCAGCAGCAGGAGTCACTTACCTGCAAGGGAATAGCAAAGGGAACACGAAAAGCCTCTCCTGCTGTTTCGCCTGCTGCCGCTGCTGCTCCTGCTGCTTCTGCGGGATCAGCTGCAGCAGCAGCAAACGCATCCGCTGCAGCAGCAGCAGCAGCCACTAAAGACCCACTGATCTCGAGAGACAAAGAAGTAAAGCCCAAGACAGAATGCGTGGCGAAATCGACTGAGGCGTCCACGTGCTGCTCTCGCAGCGACACTCCGCCCGACATCTTGCTGCTGCTGCTGCTGCTGCTGTCAGTGGTACTTCTGCTGCTGCTGCAGCCTCTCTGCTGCCGTCACTGCAGTTGCTGCTGCAGTTTCCGGCGCTGCCCCTGGGCCTGTGCAGCAGCTGCTGATGAAGCCTCACCAGCAGCTGCTGCTGGTGCTGCTTTTCCTCCAGTTTTTCTTTCTGCTGCTCGAGAGCATAGTTAGTGTGCTGCTGCTGCTGCGGCTTTTCAGTGGAACACAGCGGGGGGGCTAGTGCTGCTGCAGCACACCCACTGCAGTCATGCGAGCAGCAGCAGGCGCTACGCAGCTGCAGCGACAGCAGCAGCACCTGCTGCTGCTACAGCGGCTTCGGCTCTACCCAGAAAGCCACGAGCAGCACAGCCCAGCTGTCCCGCGGCAGACCCAAACTAAAGCCTAGACCCTAAACCGTAGGCTGCAAACCCTAAACTGCCAGAAAACACATAAGCCCTTTAAACAATGTTAACTCTAGGAATGCAGCAACAAATGCACAATGGGGTAAGGCCCTGGCTGGGATCTATGGAAGGCCCCGAGGCATCCTCGGGGGCCCCCCCGGGGGCCCCCAGAGGGTAGCCGGGCAGCTGGGGGGCGCCATTTTAAGTCTTCTTTGTCTTGTTATCCAGGATGAGACTATAGAAGATTTATATTATATTTAGAGGGAATTCATGGAAGAGTTTTCTAGCGAACTGCGCAGCAGTCGGGGATCTGTGCTCGGAGTTCACAATTAAGGATTTCGCTTTGACTTTCACAGCGGGTTCTGTTCTGTTTGCAGTAACAAGTTGCAAATAAATTACCAATAATTGAAATAAATTGCAAAATACTTTTAAAACTAGTTACGGCGGCGTTTATCAGCAGCTTCGTTTCCTTGCCTTCACAGTACAGCTCGAGACGGGCACCCACGGTGCTAGGCTAAACGACAAACTAATAACAGCAGCAACAACAACAGCAGCATCAACAGTAGCAGGAGGAGCAGCAACAGGAGTAGCAGCAGCAACAGCAGCACAAGCAGCGGCCCAACTTGGGCCTGACTCGTGCTGCTGTAGCCAGCAGCTAGCCAACCCCAGATCATTCTGCTGCAGCAGCTCAGCCCCAGATTGTTCGGCTGCAGCAGCTCGAGCCGGTAGAATCTGCTCTAGCCACTGGGGGTGCAGTCAAGGCGCCTGCTGCGTGGGCACTGATGCTGCTGCTGCTGCGAGGTTAGCCAGTCTTTGTGCTGCTGGCAGCAAAGCTGCAGCGCCTCTTGCTGCAGCATTTCATGTCTAAGAGAAGCCTTGGAAAGCCCACCGCTGTCATTGCTTAACTGCGGCGCGAGGCAGCAGCAAATGTGGAGTTCTTTTGCCTCTCTCGATTTTTTCGTTATTAACCCAGAAATGCAGAAACAGAAAAATTCCCGAATTCCCTAATTTTGCTCCTTCTAATTCACCTAGAGCCAAAAGGGAGCAGCAGCAGCAGCAGCAGCAGTTACAATTCAATCCAGCAGCACTCAGTATTCTGCAGCTCTTCCTTCCCCCCCTAATCCAAAAACCGCCTAGGGTTTAGGGTCTAGAGACAAGGGTTTAGGGTCTGGGGCTTAGGGTCTACGGCTAGGGATGTTCGAAACACCTTAAATAACTACTTTGTGAAATCCCGTCATGAGCAGCAAAAGAAGCCCATAGACTTGAGCTAAAAACCAAAATGTTTTCAAGTTCAATAAAACCTCAAAGATACCTGCATTTGTTCGGAATGTTTGTCAGTTGAAACACAAAATTCCAAAAAACCTTTAAAACTTATTTAACCCTCCTCTGAAGACGGAACTTCATTTCAGAAACAAAAAAAGATGCAACCCGGCCTCAAGGCCCCCGTGCGAGTTGTCTGAGAAACCCAGGACCCCCGCGGGAACTGTGCTTCTTAGAAAAGCACCATTCGCCAAATAAAACTATTTCTTTCCCATTTAGAAGCAAAACTTTCATTATTTGCATCTAAGCTGAGCCCTCTCTGACTCCTGCGCTGCCCCATGGCAAATTCTTCAGCCTCCACTTCGCCGCGTAGCGTCTTGTGCCCACGCGCAGCCAAAGGCGAAACCCTCCCTTCCCCTTAGGGGCCCCCAAGGAGCCCTCAAAGGGCTCCCGAAGGGCCCGTCCCTCAAGGGCCCCTCAAAGGGCCTCCCTTTTGGGGGGCCGCTAGTGGGGCCCCTCTGAAGAAGAATGAGCCACGAGATATGAAACTGAGAGGCGGAAAGCTATCAGGGAGCTCTCTAGTTCGATTTGAAGGTGTCTTTGGGCTGCCAGTACTGGGGCTCTGGCATATTTGGGTTTAGTTTTCTATCGAATTCAAACCCCAGTTTCTCCTTCATGGCCATCAGCCCATGTGCCTGTAGCTCCTTGTCCGTCACTGCGTTGTTCACCATCGCAATTATCTCCTCCCTTGTTGTGTCTTCCTTGAGAGGCATCTCTGTCACACATTTGGCACATAAGAAAGATACCGCGCTGCTGTATGTGCCTACAACTGCTCAAACTAAAGGAAACGAAAGCGTCGGAGTTTAGGGAGGTGCTGGAGGCACAAATGCTTTAAATCCGAAATTAAAAATGAAAAGAAGTGGCGTGAAATAGGCCAGATCAGCACCTGCTAACTGCCAAACACCCGTGCGGCCAACTCACTGAGATTCAACATGAACCGGGCCTCCAGAATGATCGGGTCAATATATTCGGGGTGGGGCACTTGAGGGGGGCTCTCGCCGCCTGCAGAAGCAGCACCATACGCGCCATGAGCCATCAAAGTACCAGCAGCAACAGCAGCAACAGCAGACAGCAGCAGCATGCTGCTGCAGCAGCGGAGGGCTCAAACTTCTGGCTAACGGATATACAGCTCCGGGCCAAGGGCTACGGGCAGCAACAGCGCGGTCTTCTCTTCCCTTTGCCGCTATCCACTCAGTCTCGCTAACTGCCCACACGCGCGTTCCCTTCAGTACACCCGTGTGCCGCTTCTGGTCTTTGGTTCCCCTGTGCTCTCGCTGCCTGTTGCTACTGCGGTGTCGCCCAACCTAACCCGCGCTGCTGCTTCTTTCTGAGTAAACTTGGCCCTTAATTAAACAAGCTATAAACTCTAAAAAAGAGCAGCAGCGGCGACAGCCGCAGCAGCAGCGGCACATTCCACTCACCGAAGATCCAGAAGCTCAGGCGCTGGGCAAGGGAGGTCATCTTGTATGCGGTTGACGCTGACGTTGAATTAGGAGAAAACAAATACAAAAGAAGAAGGAAAACGCGTATAGAAACCTTAATCGCACTAAATAATACCTTTAATACCTTTAAATACCTCAAATGAATACAAGTGAACACTGAACACACAGATGGAGGGGCCCCTCCCGCTGGCAGCTGACACGCACCATCAGGGGAGGCAGGAGTGGCAACTGGTTTCTTTGATTCTGCTTTCAAGTATTCATGTTTGCTCCACTTACAGGTATATTTGGTCACTTAAGCTTCCAGGTCATCATTTTTCCAGGTAAGCAACTAATTCAATCTTCTTTTCGTAGCTTTTACGGGATTCATCGAGTCAAAAACGGGCGGAGGCCGCTGGGCGAGGGCCGATTGTCCTCCTCTTCTGTGCCTCCCCTGTGTTTTGTTTTTTCTTTTTCACGCACATAGTTTGTATTTGATTAATAGAGTTGTTTCATATCTACAGCACTTCTCAACGTATTGCCGAAGTTCGCTAGCATGCGGGTACACGTGGAGCAATGGTCCTGTGCAGACTTCTCCACCGCCATTGCCGATTTTGTGTGCAGGTAACTCACTTCGTTTTATTCACTGTTCATTTTGAGTCTTCCGCAACTCCACCTTGAACCGAAGGCCAGCTTGTCGCGTCCCAATCCGGTGAGCAGAAGTCTCCCAAGCACTCATGACAAAATTCACTTCTTAAGGGCTTCGGGTCTAATAGTTGAAGGCTAAGGGTCCCCTGTGTCGCTCTAAGTGATCAAGTTGGCTGCTAAGGAGTTGTTTATGGGGTGAAGTCTCGGGGTTGGGGCCTATGCCTTCCCAGTACCGAGGGAAGTGGCTTTCTGCGTTGTAGTTCGAGTTATAAGTTTTTGCAGTTAGCGTGTGCGTGCGCAAGTACAGCACGGCGAACTAGCGGCTGTCGTGGCACACGTGGATAGTTAGATACTCAGTTTTCTCTTTTTTGAATTCACTGTTAGGGCTTTGGTTTAAGGCGATGTGCGTACGATTGCACGAAATAGCGAGCAAGTACTCGCACATAAGCACGGATATTCTTGCAGGGATATGGGTCTAAACAAAATATCTTGTCGCCACAAACACGAGGGATGGGTGTTCCTCAGAATGTGCCCGGAACTTATTTTAAGTGTACATCTCTTCACGCACGCGGATTCGAGCATGTTTTCGGGTGACTGGCAAAGGACCCGCATTTGTTTTTTTTGTCTGTGTCCTGCAGCTAGCGGGAGGAAACGCTTTGTCGACTTCTTCAGTCGCCTTAGATACAACGAGTAAGCTGTTGCTGCAGCTGCTGCTTCTGCTGCGCAGTGTCCTTTTCACTTTTGACTTACTTCCATGTTCTTTGCCTCTGCTGGAGGAATGCAAAGCGCCTATACCCTGTACCGTTCTTGTTGGACTCCATGCTTTCTTCTTTGTGATGTTCTTGCGGATTTCCCATGTGTTCTCCATTAGAAAGGTTCACCGGTTGTCCAGTGTATCCGGCCCATTATCCGATTATTAACCTTCTAAAAGCCTTTTTTGTTGTTTTTAAATACACATTTTTGCTTTTCGCAGCCCACGAAAATGCCCGGCACCTGCCGCTCCAACCATGGCCTCGACTCTGGGCTGCACCCGGTGTTCCCCGTGCCGTCGTCGATGCTGGGTTCTGCTGATGGCTGCCCCACAGGAGCCCCCTACACGCACTGCAGCTACTGCAAACAGATTCACAAGGACCCCCACGTGCAGAATCTGTATCCTCTGAGGCCCGATCAGCACTTGCAGCCGCACCAGCTAGCTGGTGTGAATACTTCCAATGGAGTCGGCCTGGGGCAGCCTGCAGGCAAACCCTCAGAGATCTTCATAACCGCACAGGATCAGGAAAAACACTGAAGAATCAGTCAGCTAAGCTACCTAGCTATCTATCTAGCTGGCCAGCTAGCTGGCGGGCCGACTAGGTGGTGTGAGAGGGAGCTGGAAAGGTGACAGCGCTCCACACCTAACAGCAGGCAGCTAGCTACGCTGCAAATAGCCGTTAGCTAGCTGACGTTTTCAATGGAAGTGCCTTCATGGGTGCATCTCTGCAGCGTTAGCCTGTTGGCGTACACGGCCGTGGTCGGGTCTGGCTAGTCAGCTAGCTGGGCAGCTAGCCACCGATTTGAGGCCGTTGTGTGGCGCCACAGCATTCGTCTCTCCGCAGTTTCTGCAGCAGCAGCTAAGACGAAATGTCGTCATTGTTTTCCGCCTCCACCTGCGGAGAGCAACGGCAATGGCTTTGGGTTTGGTTCGTTCGTAGCTTTGTAGCGTTTCAATCTTTTGTTTGCTATGGATATGCCAGCTACGAACGAACCAGTTGCTGCTGATGATTCAACGAACAGCCTGCATGTGCTGCTGCTGCTGCTGCTGTTGCTGCTGCTGTCGTAGCTGCGTAGGGGATCGTAGACACGAACTGATGCTGCTGTTGCAGCTTTGCTGCAGAGGCCGCTACACAAAACAGCTAGCTATATTTGCTTTTAGCTTCCGCTGGCGCTTGGTGGGCTGGCCTCATCTAATCAAAGACAAAGGCCAAGTATGTGTACTTCTGCACTGAAGTGTATTTTCGAGCGACTGCGTTCGGGCGGGGCTCAGAAGGATTCCTTCAATCTTACATAAAAAAGTACAATTAGTGCATATGAATCTATTAAAGAATGGGAACCATCCAATAATGCGTGTATCTACCGAAGCTAGTGAGTTCTCCTTCCTTTTAATCACATACATTTTGGAGAAGTGGCTGCGAGCAACAGCAGCCTAAGGCCGGCCTTTGGCAGTGCAGCTGCAACGCAAGGCGCCACTCTGGGGAGGATAAGAGGAGCCTCGACAGCCGAGGGCAGGGAGGGGCATAATGGGCATTTAGGCTTTGCAGCTACGAACTAATGGCTGGAGCAACGGTACCGAACTGAGTTGCAGCCGACGCAAAGTCCCCAGCGTGGCCAACAATTCGACTAATAGTAGACTACTACGCGCCTGGCACAGTCGCTGGAAGAGACCAGCAGCAGCAGCTGCTGCGAGCTTGCGCAGATTTAAACTGACGAGTTGCAGACGCTGTGCCAGCATTATAATAGCAGAGCTAGTTTGGCAGCAACGCTGAGCTCCTAACCATAGGACTGCATGAGAAACTGGAACAGTAATAAACAACATGAGCGGTCTAAAAGGAAAAAGGAAACTTGGGTTAGTACGGGAAACATTCAAAAAAAATAGTAGCAATACTTGTTGGCTTCCCTAATCCGGGTGTCAATACACCGCAGGCCATGTTTGCCTGTAAACGAGAGAGTCAATTCAAATTGCACTTTTAAAGGAAAATGCTACTAATTTCGTCAAACGCTATATTAATGTCGTTGTGCAATGTACCCTAATGTAGTGCGTGCACGGATTGTGCGTTCACCGCTTATTGGTGACGCACAAAATCGCAAGGCCAGACTCCATACACATACATACAAATGTACGCAGTGCACCGTATATTTACAATCCTCCGTACACACCACTTCCACCTTTATGCATATGCACAGGACACATAATGCGTTCTTGTGCACTGCCTGCACTTCGAAGTAAACGTTGACCACGCATGCGCATGCACGAGCCTTTTTTAGACGCACATTATGTACACATTTATGTACCTTAGTTACACACAACACCTTGGACTTTGTGCGTATGAGTAGATACTGCGCACGCCAGGGTGTGTCTATTTTCAACACCTGCGCATGCGCTTACCATATATACACACCCCTCGGTGTGAATGCGCTTTCAGGATGCCTACATGCATTGTAAATGATACATATACGTATATTCCATATATTAGTACAGTCCTATATATTGCAGAGACGCACGTGCGTTTTACACAGTACAAATAAACATTCATATACAAAGGCTTAGCAGCGACACAAGCTCGTACCCATACAGGTAAAACAGACTGTGTGGGTATAGCACAAGAGTACACAATGCACTTTAATATGCGTATACATATTTCATCTATAAAGATATACATATACACATTTACGCACGCACAACCTACTCCTAGAACATTCTATATCGTATATGTAAACATACTTAAATCATAATGTGTGCATATATACATGTACATAGGGCCAAACCGACGACATTGCAACATTTGCGTCAGTAATTACAGACACCCACCCGAGCCTTTGCAAGCAGAGCCGTGATCTGTCTTTTCTACATATGTCTAATATGGTCTCTCCATTTTATTTTCCGTTTACTTCACGTATTGCTTCACACTTTGCATTCTTCTCCCTCTGTCGCTACTCGTTTCTCTGCATACACCTGTATTTCGTGCGTCCCCTAGAAGTGCAGGCGCCTTAGGCTTACTGGTACCTTCAAGCAAATGGGTGGCGCGGAGTGTAAAGGAGGTGTGGGGTGTACAGGCAGTTTGGGGTCTACAGGCAGTCTGGAGTGTACAGGCAGTTTGCGGTCTACAGGCAGGCCCGAGTGTATCGGCAGCTTGGAAGCGCGAGGACTGCTCCTGGTGTATAGACAGTACGAAGTTATTGCACGCCCGCCCCCAGGGCCCTCCACCCAACGTTTCTCTTCTTTTGTTGATTCTTATATCACTACTTATTTCACTGGGGATCCTCATCAGAAAAATCGTCGTCGTAGGGTTCTCCTTCAGAGCTATCCCCCTCAGCTGTATTCGAGTTCACAAAGAGGCTTTCCCAGGAAGCTTCTGTTCCTTCTGGTCTTTGCGGCGCTGCGGCTGCTTCCGGTGCTGCTGCTGCTTCTCCCCGTGTTGCTGCTCCTGCTGTGGTCGGTGCCCTCTCTGTTGCTTCTGGTGCGCCCGCTGGGGCCGCCCCTGCTGGCGCTGCTGCCGCTCCTGGGGCCGTTGTGACTGGCGGGGCTGCTAGGGCTTCTTCGGAGCCACTCTCTGCTGCCTGTGGTGCTTCTGGCTCTTTTGGGGCAGCTGCTGTTGGCGGTGGTGGCGGTGCTTGAGGGACAATGGGTGCAGATGGTGGCGCTGGGGCTTCTGGCGTTGCTTCTGATTCAGGTTCTGATGATGCTGCTGCTTCGGGTGCTGATGATCCTTCGGGGGCACTTTCTGCTTCTGATGTTGCTGGTGCTTCTCGCCTCTCTTCTGTTTCCTCTGTTACCAATGCTCCTGAGGACGTTCCTCCTGACTCTGCTTCCGACTGTTCTGTTTGTGTGTCCGATGCTGCTTCTTCAGAAGACGCTGCTGCTGGCGGTGGTGCTGCTGCTTCTGCGTCTTCCTCTGCTGATGCTGCTTCTGGATCAATCAATTCTTTCGGTATCTTTGGCAGTCCTGGTGTTGCTGCTCTCCACACAACCTCATCTAATTCCGGCTGCTTTACTTGTGGCACTGCTGGGGCTCCTGGCAGTGGTGGGGCTTCTGGCACTGCTGGGGCTTCTGCTAGTGCTAGGGCCCCTCGCGGTACTGGGGCCTCTGGTGCTTCTGTTGCTGCCGGGGCCTTCGATGCTGCTGGTGGTGGTGCTGGGGCCTCTGGTGCTGCTGTTGCTGCTGGGGCATCTGGCACTTTTGGGGCTGCTGGTGGTGCTGGTGCTGCTGGGGCTCCTGGCTGTGGTTGTTTTGTCTGTGCGGCCTGCAAAGCATCGGCTTCTTCCTGCGCCTGCGTTGCCTGCGGTGGCTGCGGAGCAGCAGCTGGCTCTGCTGCTAGTGCTGCGGCTTCGGGGCTCGGCTCGGGAGGGCCAATCAGCTCCTCCAAGAAATCTCCTTCTTCGATGGGATCTCCGTTGCCGAGTGGCGCATATTGCGTGATTTTCACTGGGGCGAAAATCCTCGCCCCTCCGTGTCCTCCTAGGTCTTCCAGTACGTCATCTTCTTCCTCTTCCGGCAATTCTTCCTCTTCTGCTGCTGCGGCCCCTTGAGCACGAAACGCTGCACGCCGGCTCCCAGCTGACTGCGGCTCTGGAACTTGCGGCTGCCGCGGCCGCCCTGGTTCTGCTGCTGTTGTTTCAGGCAGCTTCCCCCTTGCTTCTTTTCGTTCAAGCTGGTCTGCTTGGCCGGCGGCTTCTGTTAATCCTGCAGCCTGAGCGCCTCCGATCGCTCCTATTTCTGGTGCTGCTACTGGAGCTGCCGTTTGGGCGATTCCCACAGGTTGCTGAGGAGCTGGCGGCGGTTGCTGCACTTCGGGAACGAAGAAGAAAGGATCCGGCGGAGGCAGCACAACTGGTGCTGCAGCAGCTCCGAGTTGTGCTTCTGGTGCTGCTACTGGTGCTGCTACTGGTAACGGTGGTGGCTGATCGTAGTAGTCTGCAGGGTAAAAGTTATCGTCTATATCAGCGTCGCCGAAAGCTCCTAAAGGAGTTGCAGGTTTTTCAGACTCCACAATGCCGTCGCTGCGCACGAGTCTGGGCACAGGTTGCCTCGGCTTTTCCGCGGGGCCACCCTTAACGGCTTGTGGTTTCGCGGCTGCCGCTGCTGCTGCTGCTGCTGCTGCGGCAGCGGCGGCGGCGCCTTCTGCTGTCTCCTCGTCAGAATCATCGAGGTCCGACTGCACGAGAGGGTCGTCGAAAACGTCTTCATCTCCCTCTTCGTCTACGCCCCTCGACGCCTCGTCCGTACTGCCCATCGGTTCCGTAGAGGAAAGCGGGCCCAGCAGCGCCACATTCATGATCTGGTGGGCCTCCAAAGCACTTCGAATGAAAACGCCGGACAGCATAGCGCCGTCAGTGAGGGTGGCGGCCATAGCGCCTTCTACTCCTGCGTCGTGCTGCAGCTCGTGCTGCCTCTCCAGTGGGGCCGCAACGCTTTCCAGCTCGATGGGGCCCAGCATGTCGCGGGCGTCGGCCTGCAGCTGATCTGCTGCTGCCAACAGCTGGTGCAAAATGGACAGCACTTGCGTCTCCTGCTCTAGCATGCAGGCGCTGGACAAGAGCAGGCTCAGCTTGTAGGCCATCGCCTCGGCCTCTGTTGCAGCACTCAGCACTTCGTCTATAGTGGCCACACCGCGGGCCCGTTCCCGCACAACCAGCATTCGCTTCATTTCATTGTTGGCGTCCCGCAGCAAGCCTTCTGCCCTCTCCCGAATGGCATTCAGCTGGTTCTGCGGCATCCACGGTACGGCCTGCAGCGACATGGCCTGCGCACTCACCATCTCCTGCTTTTCCTGCACTAGCTGCAGCATATGCGAAGCGTTGTCGCATATGCTGTCTACGGTGATCAGCGCGGCACTGACGGCCTGCGGGGCAGAGGCGTGGAGCACGTAGAAGGCGGAGGCGGACCTTTCAATAACACTTGAAACGGCTGAGAGATTTTCTTTGATGTGTCTCACGACCATGTCCAGCGCCTCCCGCGCGTCTTCCACGTCCTCGACGTCTGAGGACTGCTGCAACAGCTCCATATGGCGCTGCATCGCAGCGAAGGGGGGGCCCAGGCTTTGCAGCTGCGCCTGCACCTGCAGCAGCTGCTGCCTGTCGTTGGCCGCGGCAGCAGCATCAGCGCCGCCCTCGCCCGCAGAAATCGTCTTGAGGGCCGCGCCGACCAGCAACTCCGCTGCTCGCCGTCGCGCCCCTAACTCCGCCCCCAACACCGACCACTCTACTAAGCTGCCCGAGCGCAGCAGCGAAAGAGCCGAATCCTCGAGCCCCCTGATTGCAGCAGCAAACTGGGCCCGCGCGGCCAGGATGTGGCGCGTGGTGCGCAGGCATTTGCTGCTGTACTCCAGCGAAGAGCCCTTCTCCGAGAACCAGTAAAGGGGCTTACTCTCCAGCTGCCTCTGCCGGTCCATGGCCGTAGCCAGCAGCCGGCGGGCCCCGGAGGCCGCGTGGAACAAACAGGTGCGCCAGGCCTGCACGAAGTCCGGCTCCGCCATTGGCTGCAGATGCGACAAGTAGCTCTCCTCGACCGTGGAGACCCGGGGCACGGAGGGGCCGTCTACGACTTCGTCTCTCACGGCCTTGCGCACCAGCACCTCGAGGTGTTCAACAGCAGATCGGGCCTTTCTGTTGGCCTCCACCAGCGCTGCCAGCGCGTCCGCCGTCCCTGCTGCGTCCCCCCTTGCTGCTGCAGCCTCTGCAGCCTCTCGGTCGCCCGCACCGGCCACCAGCAGCGCCCGCAGCTCCGCCACCAGCACCGAGGCCATGGGCATTTCCAGCGCCGCAGCCACGCCCGAAGCCACCGGCAGCAGCCCCATCATCTCCCTCAGCCGCTGCGACTGCCCCTCCAGAGTCAAGTCCTCTGGAGGCTCCACCTCAGGCTCGCCTTTGCCCTTCTTCGCTGGGTCTTGCTTATCGCCCTGGCCCTCCTTGCCGCTGTCTGAGCCTCTCCACGGCAAATGCAGCCAGCCAAGCGAGGCAGCAGCCGCAGGCGCAGCGAGAGCTAGCGCCAGCAATAGTGCGAGGCCAAAAGGCAAAGCCTTGCCCTTCCGGGAAAGCCTGGGAATTGCAGTCGCATCTTCCGGGGTGTCCAGAAGAGCGACAGAGTCCCCAACTTGCTGGTTCGACTCATCATCCGCGGCTACTTCTCCCTCTCCCGGGACTGTCACCGGAGGACTTCCGTACCGCTCCTGCCCTGAATACTCAGCTGCTACTGCGGAAGTGAGGAGAGACGATGCGCACAGGCAAAAGAGAGCCAAACCGATAAACACCCCTAAAGCCAACCCCCGGTGGGGTGCCGCTGCAGCTGTGGGGTGGCGCCGAGCCCTACGAGTTGAACCCTTCAGTCTATTCATCTTTCAAAAAGGTGTGTGCAATTTATTTCAACCTACGTCCTAACGTCGCGCGTTTCTGCAGGCGAGTTCTGAAAATTGAACGTTCTCGCGCCTGCGGGGCGGATCAAGCGCCTGCTTTTGGTGGTGAAGTGCAAAAGAAACCCATCTGCCTGGTTCCCAGTCTGTTATTTCTATTTCATTAGTTCAGGAAAACGGCCAATACCAGAAGAAAGACCAAAGTGGCGGCAAGCAGCGTGCCCCTGGCGGTTGCCCTCGTCTCTTGCTCTCAAGCTGTCGACTCACAACCCCAATCCAGCAGAGCTTGCTTGGTGGCGCCCTGGGCTCGTGCGTTATTTTAAATACAGCCTTCAAAATTCAAGTGCGAATTCAAACAAATAGAGTAAATTTTGTTGGCCCACAAAGCTATTGAGCAAAGAGCAAACAGACGTGGCAAGCCAGCTGTGCAGGCTGACCCGATTGACTCCGGACTCCCGGCGAGCGTGGCTACCTCACCACCTCTTTCGCCCGTTTTCTCCCGTCCCGATCACCACGTAGTGACAGCATTTGTAGCGCATGGATTTGATATATTTTTGCATTAAACGCATTTAAAATCTCGAAAGGACGCCGGCAAGCCTATTCTGAGGGGTGGATAGTAGATGGCACGCTGGGGCGACAGGCGCCATAGGTGAACCTAGCTTGAATGGCTGTTCGTTGCCGCATTCTTCTCCTTTTCTGGGGCATTTTTGCCAAGCAGTCTTGCATTCTTGGCTATCAATGCAATTATTGGGGTGTTTCGGGTTTAATTTCGGAAGAGGTGCGGCGTGATTGGTCCGTTTCTGTAAGGTCTTAGCATCCCCCTGTATTCAGTCCTTCGCAGCATCTTTCCGTGCAGGAGTAAGTCTTGTAGAAATTAGCTGAAGGAATGATTTATGCTACGTACACGGCTACAACCTCAATAATAAATTTGTAATTTTCTACATATATCCCAAGCGTGGACCGTGCACCCTGTGCAGATACAACAACCAATTGTCCACAGATATGTGTGGTCCTGGGTAAGCAAACAAACCCTAGGAGTTTTTCTTGAAAATGGCAGGTATAAGCTCTATGGTGTAATGGGGTGCACCCTGTACGGTGAACTACTGCGCTCCCGTAGAAGCTATGATACTAGCATCACAAGCAAGAGCTATGATACTAGCGTCACAAACAAACAAAACAAGACTCCAGAGTGTCTCTGGACAGCATAGTGAATAGCTAGACAAACCCAAATTCAGTTTTCACTCTCGTGAGAATGTAGGGATGCTCTCATGCAGCTCTACACGTAAGTTTATTGCAAAATGCCGCAACAATGCAGCATCTGAAAGACACGTGCACGGGTTTAAAATAGGTTCTTAGAGGAAGGCATCGCTGACCAGGTAGCCTCGCAGAAATAACAGTGTACATCAGGCAACCCTACGCGTCTGATTTTGCACTAGATGCAGAGCTTTGGAGGCCCTGACCCTAAGCAATGCTGGCGTGGATATGCTCGTTGAAAAGTAAGATCATGTTCTTGTTTGCACGAGTGGGTCATACAAAGTTAAACGTTCGACACGCTTTCGCTCTCACTGTGAGCCGCTAATCGTTTTTCCAGCTCTGCACTACTGTTGCCACAAAGCCTTCTCATAGTGCACCAACACCAGCTGGGCGCGTGAATGACAAGGCACTGCTGGTTAACCAACTCTCGATGACACTACACACACTAAGCATAAACTTCTCGATGACCCAAACACTTAGCTTGAAAAGCTGGTAAAGCTGAAAGCTATCAGCAATGCTTGATAGATCGCTTAGTGCGCACAGAGCTTCCATTGGCTACAAGGTTGCTGCTACCTACAATATGCGGGTTTGGCTCCACACTTCGCAGGGTCTTGCCAACCATCTGCATCTTTTACACACGTTAATACCAATTTGTGCTATGCTTGAGTTATATTCAACCTTCATGACATCAAAAATCATTTTCTGCACAACTGCAATGCGCAGCAGTACGCTCACCGCTCTGTCTCCCTCCTAGTGCTCCCTTGATTTAGGCCTTGACGTGCAATTTTCACAAGCAGCATTTCCTTTTACTCAGAGTTTGCCTATGCAGTATATCGCAATTCGTAGAGCCCCATACATTTCAATAATGAAACCAGGGCGCTACTAAGGGCGTAACAGCCCGGTATCCAGTGTGCATCCAGATCGGCGAGTAAGTACGCCAACAGCGTCAATGATATCGACAGGCACACTGGCACTGTTCTTTTTCTGCATTGGGCGCAGTACTGTAGCGGACTTAATCCCGCTTTGATATTATGGGCGCGACGAGAGACAGCCTTTATCCGGGCTTCAATGGCGAGTAGTCTCTGGCGCCTTGGCGGCACAGGTCGGCGCAGTGGTGGCAGCTCAAGAGGCGTTTCTCAAATGATCTGTGAGTAGTTCTGAGGTGTTCCTCAGATCTCCTCACAGATCATCTAAAGAGCTCGCTAGGCCCATATGCTTTTAGAAACGCTGCGCTACTCCCTGCCACGCCTGGGGACCTCTAACATGCAAAATTTCTTGCGCAAAGGCCCATGGCTTGCCCTTATCCTCACCAGAAGCGATCTCATTTACGCTTGTAGGGAGCGGCTCGCCATCTTGCAGGGCACCTTGGCCTTCTGCTAAACACGTGGTTACTTCTGGTGTTCTTGATGGCAACTTCTGAAGTAGTTGACAAATGAAAAGTGGAAGAGGGATAGGTTTCGGGCTCCTCTATTATATTTTGGCCGGGTAGGGTTTCTCAGCTATTCTTGAAAGGGCATTCGGGGCTGAGAGCGCCTTTAGAGAGCTCTAAATATGAGCACAACAGAGAAATCATGTGTTTGACGTGCCATTTATTTGGGCAGCCTAGCAAGGTATCAGTTGGCGGCAAAGAAGCGAGCCGTCACTACCTGTTCTAAAGGGCGCACGGTTCACGTGGTGGCCATTAACATCTACAGGACGCTCACACGGTTGACTCGCAAACCGGTGCTGACGCCGCGCGATGTACTGGGAGGAAATACTGGCATTTTTGCCTTTGCTTTTGCGGGCACAAGCGCGGACTGATATCAAGGAAGGGTAAGCAGCTATGAGACCTTGGCCGCCCTGACAACGTCCCTCCTGGGCAGGCACAAAAAGAAGGAGCAGCTCGTGAGGAGGGCGACAGAAGCTGGAACAGTGGGAACAGGGAAATGTAGGGCCGATCGCCATACAGTTGTCTTGCTGGCCCAGTTCATTCCAAATGCAAGTCGTGAACAGAGTCGCAGAAAAAGTCTGGAGGAGAGCTCCACGGGAATTTACTGTGCAGCTCTACCGTATATTCTCATGCCACCTGCCGGCTATTCTTGAGTCCCACCTGCTTCTGTACTGCGAAGTGCCACTGCGTCGCTTCCACCACAACTGCCGAGTGTGGCGTTTTCGCCCCTATTCTTGGGGGTCAAGCTGCAGCCGGATCCCCGAGGTGCGCCTACATTTTCTTCTCTACACATTTGGCTTTCGATCAAAAGCCATAAACAATGAAGCCTAAATGCCGAAAGTACTTGAAAATCATCAAACTGAATTGTTCTTCGCCTTTGCTACGGCCAGCCCCGGCACTTAAAGGGTCTCACCACCTTCAGGGCATCATTTTCTCACCAGTATGGATTAGACTAAAATTATTACAATAGCTGCTGCGTACGTTGAAACGTAGCTTACAACTATGAGGGAATTTCGGGCACCACTGCAGTGTCCAGCGCTTCAGCACTCCAGCATTGGGACAGACAGTCAATGCGCACGACAACTGTGCCTATTTGAAGTGGAAAACCTCAGATCTTCTGTATTTTCATACATTAAATAACATTTTAATTAAAATTATTATTTTTTGTATGTGTTGCCTCTTAGAAGTGGCCACGTGCACCCTTGTTATACTGAGCAGTGCAAACTGCTTCTGGAGGGCGGTGCTCATGGAGTCGCTTAACCACAGATCGCTCGCTGCCGGTATCTTCAGCGGGCATATAAATTTTGAAGCATAGTTTTATTTCCCTCGTCTTATTATCTTCGGATTTGCTAAATTTGCGGGGACTAGCCTAGCACCAACCAGAACCAGTGCAGTGCTCATTGGCAGCTCTTGCTGTAGGGTAGCATGTTATTGTTGAGTTTTATTAGGGGGAAAACTTCTACAGTTATTGTGTAAATGTGCACACGCTAAAGAGATAGTCCATAATCTTAACGTTTTCAGCCAAATATTCAAGAAATTTTGGTGAACGCTCAACAGGAGCGGACGAGGGGAACTGCTTCCGCTCCCACTAGCCCCGCTCGTTCACTCTATTTTGAATTTCTGATTCTTTGCGAAAAAAAGTGGGATCCTTTTTTTCCATTTTGTACGCTACACTTAAATTTTGTCTTTTAAACGTGTAAAATAGCCCGGCACCCCCCAGACTCTTGCGCACGACATAGAGAAGGCGAGTGGCAGCAGCCCCTGAAGAGGAATAACATTCCATTTTCTATGTTTGCTCTCCTTTGTTTTATGTGGAGCTCACATACAGGATACACCTTTTTAGGATTGAATATTGAGCAAACGGGCTCTTTTCTCCTGTCCACACCGAAATCGTCTCCAGGCCCTAGCCACGCAGACGCGATGTCAATCGGTAACTAAGAGCAATCGCACGCAGCAGCGAAGCTCCGAGCAACAACTTGAAATACAGTTCACTTTTTCTTTTTAAAATGAAGAACTACGGAAAGCTCTCTGTTTCCCCCTGCCCCACAGCGGCAGCTCCTCGTATCCCCAAATTATCTCTCCCGGCCCAGCTGTGTGGCGCTCTCCTTTGTTTGTACTTTTTGTCTACCATAACTGCCGCTGCAGCGGCGAAGAATGAAGCTGAAGACTACTCCTTATCCGTTCAAATCCCCTTGGGGCCAGGGCTTCATGGAGGGACGGCTCCTAGTAGCTACGGTGCAGCGGCAAACCTGCACACTGGCAACACTTCTGTTGCGCTAGAGGCACCGGAAGGCGTTGCTGCCACTGGCTCGGCCGTACGAGGCACCAAGTTATGGGGAGTGGGGCTTACTTTGTTGCTGGCGTTTGTCGTCGGGGGGGCGCTGGCTTCAGGTGCTGCTCCGTGGAAAGACCTCATAAAAAAGGGCTTAAAGAAGGGCCTTGGAAGGAGTCGAGCAACGGATGAAAGACGCCAGCGTGAAATGGAGAAGCTCACAGGAGTGAGCTTTTCAGAGGAGTCGAAACGCCTGCAGGAGCTGCAGGCCTTGCTGCCTGCTGCGTCTTCCCTGGCGAACGTGATGGAGGTCCCTATGGCTTGGGTACTGATAATGCAGCTAGAAGAACGCATGTTGGCTGCTGCTACAGCTGAAGAGGCAGCAGCCAAAGGGGATATCGGGGCTCTTGCAGCATTTGCAGCGGCAAACAGGAAAGTCGAAAGCGTTTATGAGCAAATGGAAGTCCTCACGAACAACTTAGCAGCAGCAGAGGTGGAGGCGGCTCCCCATATGCAGCCCGTGACAAACATAGAGCAGCGCTACCTTTCGGACTTGAAGCCGTTTGCGAATCAAGAGTTCATAGAGGCGTGGCGCACCTGTGTGTTCCACACGGCCAGCACTGCCCATCGGCTGCTCCATGTTGCAGCAACACGCCAGCTCCAGCTGCAGCAGCAGCCGCTCTTCCAGTCGAGCATCGACAAGGCCTCAATGCAGCAAAACTGCAACATAATGCAGTCAATCCGCCACACCCTGATGGCGAGGTCTGAGCTCTACGCTGCCACTGAAATGCTGGAGCAGCTGGCAGTTACTGTCTACCAAACGAGCACAGCAATAGAGTGGGAGCAAGAAGCAGCCGAGCTCATGCTCAAGAAAAATGTTGCAGAAATGATGGTGCTCACAACACTGAGGGAAGCATTCCAAAGCGGCATCAAAGCGCCGAACGACTACGACGTCCCCATGAATGCCTCCCTGGTACCCCTGGAGCTGGCGGCCGCGAAGGATCGGGGGCTGCTGGAAAGTCTGTTGAGGCAGCTTAATGGCCTGAACGGTGCATTCTGCGTGCTGCAGCAGCAGGTGATCATGCTGAAGGAGGCCACGGACCCGTGGCAGATCGGAACTGCTCGACACGCCGCACACAAGGCAGCGAGCCGCATAGGCAAAGTGCTCGAGGATTTCACGAGCGAGATGCAACAGTCGCCTGCTGCTGTCCGCACGCTGCAGGGGCGCTCTAAGAGTGCAATTGCTGCTACTGCGGGAACTTTGGACAGCGTCTGCAAAAGAGGCGAGCATCAGGTGCAGCAGATACATAAAGTAGGAGAGATGATTGATATTCAATCGACTGCGCTACAGGCCATTAACTGGATGCCTCAAGAGAGGCTAAAGGCGGCCCAAAAGAAGGCTCACTCACTTGAGCACGAAGCCAGAATTCTGCTGCAGACGCTACGTAACATACGAGAAGAAGCAGACGAAGCCGAAACGGTAGACTATGTGCTCAGTTTTACAGAAGAGGCAGACGACATATCTTACAAGCTCAGCGAGAACTTGAGCAGCATTTCGATGCTCCACAAGGAGCTGCAGCTGCTGGCGATACTGCAGCAGGCTGTTGTGTCAGTCGATCGGCTGCAGTCCAAGGCCCAAGAAATGGTAGGAGCAGAAGGGGTTCACCATGTGGCGGATTTGCTGAGGGAGCAGCAGGCCGTGCAACGGGATGCAGCAACAGTGCTTTCCAAAGCTCACGACCTGACTGCCATTGCTCTGATGGCCAGCGAACTCATCCGAAGCGCTGAGCTGGTTCACAGCATTCTGGAAACGGTGCTGCTGGGGCCGCTTGGGGCGCTGCCGAACTTAGATCTGGACCACACACGGGGGCCAACGGTGCAGTTGGAAGAAGAAGATGAGTCTTCTGAGGAATCTGTAGTGCAGATGCCGAAGCTCGACGAGGCTGACCATGCAGAAGAAGCAATAGCAGAACACGCAAGAGACGCGGCAGCAGCAGCAGCAGCAGCAGCACGCACTGAAGGGAGTGCAGGAATACCCGCGCCAAGCGGCTCCATGTGGAGAAACGAAGGAATAACAGCAAATGCATTTGCGGCGGCTTCTCACAATTCTGAGGAGGAAGCAGAGCAAGACAATGCACACCCTGCAGACAATTTAACGCCACTAGCAGAGCAAGACAATGTATACCCTGTAGGCCATGTAACGCCACCAGCGGCGGCGGCGACAGCAGAGCCAGAGTCAGAGCCAACTCAAGAACCCACTCCTCCACAAGAAGAGCGACTGCGCCTTGACACTGAGCAAGAACCAGGGTCAGCTGAAGCGCCTGCGGAAGCAGCATCACCGGCTGGGGAAACAGCAGAGGGCCTCACAATTCCAGGAGCAGCAGCACCAGACGCAGGTAATGTAGCGGCAAATGCGACTGCATCCGAGGAAGCCATGGTGCTTCCGGGTGACAAGCGAGAGGCCGACGAGAATGCAGGTGTATCAGCAGAAACACCTGACAAAGCGGGACAGAAAAAGGAAGCTCAGCAGCAGCAGGAGGAGCAGTACGCACTCCAACAAGCAAAGCTGCAGATGCCTGCAGAAAGGGTTCCAGCATCTGACGCACAAGAGGCATCAGAAAAGTTACTGGAGCGGCCCCTGGCTTCGGGAGAGCTGGGTGAAACAGCAGCCGAGGGCATTGGAGGTGGAGCAGCAGCGGGGGATTTGCAGATCCCGCGCTTCACGGTAAGGGAGTACACTTCAACAGGCCAAGAGCAGCCAGCGGATGCAGAGCTTCCTGCGGAGCAACAGGGATCGCCAGAGCGTCCTCAAATGGGCTTGCCGATGCAACAGGCAGAATCTGTGGAACAGCTAGGCCAAGGTGCGGCAGCAGGTGGCGCCGCTGGAGAAGCCCCTGTGGAGGAAAATAGAAAAGAAGAATGAACAACATGTGACCAAGCAGGCGCTCTTACTATCGCAAGCTAAGGGGAAAGCTCAATAAGTGACAGTGTCAGCTGCACAGACCAAAGCTTCAGCGCCTGCAAAGCTTGCAGCAACGCAACAAAGGCATTGGAAGCAGCAACGCCAAAGCCAAATGAGCCAGAAGAAACGGCATTGGCAGTAGCATAACTACAAGCGGCATCGGCACAAGCATCAGCTAAACCAGGATCGCCGCTAAAGCAGCAGTGGTCGCAAATTACCAGGTGCAAAAGCGGCATTTTTGGCGCCATCAGAATCAAGCAGAAGTATCACCAAACGCAGCAGAAGCTTCCTATCGCCAGGCACATGTCAAGGTCTTGTAGAATATGGGGCATACCTCGGCCCCCCTGCGAGAGCTACTGCAATTGGTGGTGCAGTAGCTGTGGCTTTTCCGATTGGTGCTGCTCTTCCACTGCCATGTTCTGCTGATACCGTTCTCTGTGCAGCGAGGAGGCTGCACATCCGCGAGGTGCTTCGCCTGCAGCAGGCGGCCAAGCGAAGCATCAAACGGGCCATTGCCTCCGCTGGAACTGATGGCAGTATTGGTCTTTTGGGGTTGGCTATCGTTGGCGCTGCTGCTGTTCAGATAGCGCAGCAAGCTAACACTCAAATTAATGGCCAGCATCATTACTGCTTCGTTGTTCGAGTACTTTCTGCTGCTGATGTTGCAGCTTCCCTTGCAGCGGGAGATGTTGCTGCCCTGGGCACCTAAGGCCGCAATCAGGGCATGTGGAGTCCCCGGTGCTGCATATCTGCGCCAGATGCCTCTACGTCTGCCCCAGAATTTGCTGCCCCGCTGCCCCGCCTGCTGTTTGCAAGATGTACAGCTTCAGCCTTGAGGCTCGCAGGAGCCATGTGCTGTTGGTGCCGGTGTTCATGCTGCTGACGCCGCGAGTGCTGTGGCTGCCAGTGCCACTGTCAATACTGCACGTTTTTATTGCCACCATTGCCCGCAGGACTGATGCCCGTCTTGCCGTTTTTTTCATTCTCCGCAGTAGCTTCAGAGCAGCAACTGCAGCAGCTCCAGAAGCACGGCTTTTAAGGTTGAGTGGACGCGGAGGCAGGGCTCTCTATAGATCGTCAAAAGTACCTGAGACAGGAATTCTTGAACGCAAGCCCGTGGGAGCTCTGCAAGCTGTCCCACGGGGATACAAAGACAGGTTCAGCAGCGAGCTTCATTCGTGGGCATTCGCGGTGACCCCACACTCAGCCCTTCCACCATTTTAAACCAGATTTTGACATTGAGTTAATTATTCATACAATTTTTGCAAAAGCACATGGCCATTGTCACTGGTAGCGTGCGCTCGCGTAAGCTGCGCACCTCACAGCAGCTCGCTTTTCCGCGCCAATCGTACTATAATGGCGCGATGAGCTACACTAGCCTGCTTTTTAAGGGGTTCCTTGTGACTGCATCTTCACACTTATTCAATCAGCACATGGTTACTATAAGTTGCTCCATTTCGCTGTCCAGGAGCTCCGTTTCCCTTTGCAGTCACAGGTGGCATAGTTAGTTCGTCTTGCAGTGGTAGTTCCTTTCGGGCACGTCTGCTGCTAGGAGAGCGGCCACGATCAAGGGAAATGTCAAAAGCCTCTGGGTGCTGGCCTGCGGGCAAGGGGCCCCAAGGGGTCGCTGCTTGGCGAGGCAACAGTAAGTTCCTGCACTGTGTGAATACATGCTGCCACGAAGAGCTCTTGTCGCAGGGGTTGTGAATCGACTTCCGCAATTCAACTCTTCGACGTCCTTCATATGTCAGCACTTGGATGTGCAACCCAGCCACAGGGTCACTGATTAGCGCTCTCTAGGCACTTTTCTTGGTGTCGGTTGGCCCTTCAACTAGAGAAACATCAATGAACGCATGAGATAGTACGTAATCATAGAAGCTCGCTTCGCGGCAGAAACGCAAAATGGGTTGTCCTGCTTGATCGCGAGCAGTGCTCAGCCACTAAGCTAAATGCATTTTTTGAGGTACAGACATTGGCTAAGCTTATGTTCGCACCCACCAGGATGGTAACGCCCTTCATGTCTGCAGCTCCAGGGCGGACACCTCCACGCTCTGGATCCGTTCCATAACTGCTAGGGGCGTGCTATTCAAAAACACAGATTTTCGTAGCTATACTGGTTTTACTCTTCCCATGGCATATGTAGCTGGATAAAATGTCGCATAGCTATTATCTACACGCAGTCGTCGCTCCAAGATCCCTACCCTCACGCCTCGCAAACCAGCGTGCCAGACCTCTGGTACTCGCTTCCCTTCCCCGAAACGTTGCAAGTTTTGGTCGCCCTCAGCGTTTCAAAGAGCTTCGACACTCAGCGAAGATCAACCAGTGCAGCCGGCTAGCCTGGAAGTTGAAAAGAGATCCATGAAGAGTTGCTTCTTACGTCTAGGTAAATGCCTCTGTCTCCAAAATCCACGGAGTTCGATGCAACTGCAGTGGATGCAGCAAATGCGGCTGGTGCAGTGACACATCCCACTAAAATCAACAGTAGCAGATCTTACTAAAACCAAAACAATTGTAGCAAGTTAACTAAAGCAGCAACAGTTGCCGCCGCACACTTAAGGGGAGGCTTTTCAGGACAGCGTCAGCCTTAGAGCGCTCCTGCTGCTGCAGCAGCAGCTGCTGCTGATGCTGCTTCGGCAGCAGTTCACCATGCAAAGGATTGACCATGTGAGGGATGATATCTTGAGCTGCAGTGGATATATTCCCGGCAGCAGCAGCAGCTGCTGCTGCTGCCGCCGCTACTTCACGGTGCTTCTGAGGTCCTGCTTGCAGCAGTAGCTCAACAAAAGCCGAGCGTAGAAGCGGCAGCAATGCCAAAAACAAGTCAATTAGTATGCTTTTGTGCTGCTGCTGCTGTGCACCGTGTTGTTGGGGCTGCCGTCGCCCATAATGCTTCTGCTGCTGCAAGTGCTGTTCCTCTGCTTGCTGCTGCCCTTGCACGGAACAAGAGCCCACAGGAGGTTCTTTTTCGAGTCCTTCCGAGCTACTCCAGCACATGTGGCACGTGTTCCCGTTGCAGCTGGTTACGGAACAATGCTCCCGGGATGTCTGCTGCTGCAGCAACTGCAGCAACTTGAAAGCTCGGTTGAAATTCCGCAGCCGCAGGCTTGTGGCTAGGCGTCGAGCCCAACTCGCCACGCTTTGCTGCTGCTGTTGACACTGATGCGGCTGTGGCTGCTGCTGCTGTTGGTTTTCTATGCGAGTAACCAGTGTGAGGCTGGATCCCATGCTGCTGCTGGCAGTGCTGAGGGCAGCAGCTCCAGCTGCTGTAGTGAGAAGTAGCCGAAAGGCCAGGCCTTGATGCAGAAGCGTATGGAAGCCTGTCGAAGCAGCAGCAGGTGTATCTGCTGACGCCCCACTCGTTGCTCGTGCAACGCACTTCCGCAGCAGCAATCTTTCCAGTGCTGCACAACAGACAGCAGATTCTGCCGTATCAGCTGCGGCAGCGGCTGCTGCAAGATTCCGCAGCAACAGCTGCAGCAGGAATCCATCCACATCCAATTGCTGGCATTTGGTTGAATCCACAGCAACAGCATCTCCTTCAGCTGGGGCCGCACGTGCTTTCAATGCTGCCGCGCTGTCTACTCCTGCCGCCGGTGTGCTTGCTGCTGCTGCAACTGTTGCTGCTACAGCGTCTGCTGCTCCTTCAGCCTCTAGAGCTGTAGGAGATACTTCGGTGGGACAGTCACCTCTTGCTGCTGACTCTGCTGCCCCTGCCGTTGCTGCCGGCACTGTTAGTGCTGCTTTCAAGACGCTTTGCCGCTGCGCAATGCAATACTGCCGCAGCGCTCGAAATTCCTCCTGCGCAAAGTCGCGCCATAGTAGCCGCCACGCTTCCTGCTGCTGCCTACGCTGCCGCAGCAGCAACTGGCCTGCCAACAGTTGACTGCTCCCGTGTTCGTTGCCACCAAAGCAGCAGCTGCCCGCTTGCTGCTGCAACATCTGAGCCGAGCACAATTGTGGATCGCTATCATTCACATCGCCTTCTTCTTGTGCTTTCTGCTGCTGTTGCTTCTCTCCCTGGTGGCACTGCATCTGTCGCTGCAGCTCGTTGTGCTGTCGTTGCTGTTGCACGAGTCTTTCCAGCCTGTCCTTTAGCTCGCGCAAAGTCGGTCGGTGTTTGCTCTGACTCGGAATCCTACAGAAGATAGGCTCTTTGCCCCAATCTCGCTGTAGCCGCTGCTGACGGCGGCGGACCTCTTCAGGATCTGCTGCCAGCTCAGACACTTGCTGCTGCTGCTGCTGCTGCTGCTGAAAGCGATGTACGGAGGACTTTTCTGTGTGGCGCCGCTGCAAACAAACGGGCGTTTGCTGCAGCAGTAACTGCTGATCTTGCTGGTAGTTGTAAAGCTCTCCTGTGCCGCTGCTGTCATCTGCGCTGCTTCCAGTTTCTTCCAATGGGTCTATTAAAGGATTCAGCAGCTGCTCAACTTGCTTTTTCTGTTGCTGATCCTGCTGCTGTTGTTTTTGCTGATGCCGCCTAGAACCACTTGTACTTGAAAGGCCGAAGCCGCCCGAAACGCCTTCTATGAAAGGCTTCACCTTGCAAATTTCCTCGCGCTCTTGCTGCTGCCGGCATTGGTGTTCTTGCATGTGCCGTTCCTGCTGCTGCTGCACGTTGCGCTGATTCACCTGATGCTGCTGCACGTGCTCCTGGTACTTCTCTTGATCTGGCAGGCGCTGCAAAGCTTGAGAGGCTCGAGTTTCAAACTCAATATTTGTAAACGCGCACTTAGGAGCAGGCTCTAGCACAGGGCTTGAGTTGGCTTTCTCAACGGTGACCGTTCTGCTGTTCGTGTTGCCGCTGTTGTTGCTCACGCCATTGCTGAAGTTGCGTCGGCTGCAGCTGTTGTCGGAGTTGTTGCTGCTGTTCCTCCTCCGTTTAATTTGTCCATTGCCATTGTTTTCCCTGAATGTCTCATTTGTATAGTTGCTGCTCCCGTGCTTTTTGCTGTTGCTATGGCGCTGCTGCTGCTCGTTGCTGGTGGACCAAAGAAGTTGTAAACTCGCGAGGCGCCTTGCCTGCAGCAGACGGTGGTGGCCGCAGCGGCCAAGCACGAAATGCCTCCCCTTTATCCACTTCCGGTGCTGGAGTTTCTTTCTCTTTGTGGATAGCTGTTGCAGAAGTTGTTGCTGCTGTTCACGTGGGGCGACGAGAGTGTGGCGTAGCGGCCGGATGCTATCCTGTTTGCTGCAGGGATTTGAATGTTTATTACTGCTGCTGACGCTGCAGTTGCTGTCTAAGAAGCAGTCACCGCAGTTGCCAATTAAGGCCACTGTTGGCAGGTGTGGAGTCCCTGGTACTGCGCATTTGCTGTTGCTGCCTCTTTCGCCTCCGTTGCTGCTCTTGCTCTGGAGCTTGCGTTTCTGCTGCCTCGCCAGATGAAGAAGAAGGTGCAGCTTGTGCCTTGAGGTTCGCATGTCCGGCGGGTACCGATCTTACTCTGCTGAGGCCACTGCTCCAGCAACAACTGCCGCTCTCGCCGACACTGCTGCCGCTCCCGCTCCCGTTGCAGCTGCCTTCAGTGTAATTCTTCTGTGATTGCTTGTGTGATGCTGCAATATTTTCAATGCCTGCCGCAGCTTTTGCTCTGCATGAGCTGAAGGAGCAGCACTAGCGGCAACTGGAACATACGAGTCCGTCTCTGCTTGAGTAAGGGAGCCTGCCATACAATATCCCACATGTCACATTAAATCACACAGGTACAGACCTTCCAATACAAAAGAGCTTCATGCTGGCTTCTAGGTCTGCTAGGCCCTTCAAGGGAGCCAGGGAGTAGGGCTGTTTTGTGGGGCCCCATGTGCCTCCCCAGACGCCATTGAAAGATGACAATTCTTGGAAAGGACTTCGACTTTTTACCTGATATTGAATAAATGAGATGCTTAGAGGGAGGATTTAGCGATGATTTCTCTGCATCAAAGCCGTCCAGACTCCGGGCGACACAAGTGACCTTCGTATTCTTTATCTGTTGAGCTTGCTGAAAGGAGAAAGGTAGAAATGTCACGCTCAAGGGTTTTAAGAAGAGCGTTGAAACAATGTCAGCAATGCTGAATAGCAACCGCAGCCTACAGCAGCAAGGGCTAATAGCGGTGCTGCTGTGACAGCAGCCAATGAAATTCGGAGCCTCAAGAGACGGAGCTTCGTACTAGAGGCAAGACCTACCCTATGCAGTAAACTTTTTCCTGTTATGTCATCATGGCCGTACTCAATTCGCCGTACGGCGTACTGCGCAGCCCGAGCACACTAAGCGTCTCTCCATGGACCCAACATTGGGACGGCGCCCCTTGGAGTATGCGGAGCTTATAGAAGGCATTTAAGAATTTTTTGCAGCGCTTATGGGCCATAGTCCCTTCCGCTCGTTTGGCTAATTCTATATCCAGTGTCATGTGTCCACCCGCTACCTTAACCCCACTGAACCTCTTGTAAAATTTCAAAACTTCAACTGCACAGCTAAATCACTGTAATGCTCCAGAAGCACCTGCTGCCGGCGCTTTTGGTGTTGCTGCTGCTGCTGCAAGGCCTCTTTCACGTCTGTGCTGCCCTGTAGGTGCATGATAAGCGGTGACACAAAGCTCTTTTGCTGTTAGGCAGCTAGAAACAACTACTGAACTCCACGTATTTAATGACTACCCCTGCTGGCTTCTCTATGTGTCCGCCACTGTTCTTCGAGGTCTCTTCCTGACTCTACTCACCTGCACTTCATATTGTTTGTATGGTCCTTTCTGTCTGAACCAATGCATTTCGTCTTTTCATGCCTGTTGCTGGCGTTCCATTTCTGCCGGCTTCCGTGCAGTGCTGCGAAGCCGAAGTACTATAAATGACAGTACAATTGTCTAAGGCAAACTAGGGCTTATTACTGAGGGCTCCCCCTTACGAGTCTCCCAGAGGAGAAGCTCCGCTGGGAGCCGTCAGGTAGCCGCAGCAGCAAAGAGCCATCACAGTCGAGGCCTTCCAATATGCCGCTGTACTTCCCCTGCTGCTGCTGCTGCTTGTGTCTTTGATGCAGCAGCAGTTCTTGCTGCTCTTGCTTCTCTAGGATCACCGACACACGGTCGCCTTTGTACGCCAAGTGCTCATCCACAGAAGCAAGCAGCGGAGCGGAGCCCTGCTCCTGCAGCAGCAGCAGCACCTCGCCCACTTCTTCGTGCAGCAAGTCCAGCACTTTCTCAACAGACACGTCAATGCTGCCATCACTGCTGTCTTCAGCTTTGCTCTTGCTGCAATTGGGGGCTAAAAGGAGAGAAGACTGAGGTGGCCAAATAACTAAATCACTGTAGTGCTCCAGGAGCACCTGCTGACGGCGCTTTTGGTGTTGCTGCTGCTGCTGCAAGGCCTCTTTCACGTCTGTGCTGCCCTGGTAGCAGCAGTCCTCGAAGTGCTCCTTGGGGTGGGCGGCGAGGTTTATGCCGATGCCCAGAAGCACAACAACCATGTCTTCCACCGACTGCAGCTGTGGCGTTTTTGCTGCAGGTGCTTCACTAGTACTGTTCCCAGCAGCAGCAGCAGCAACTGTGCGGTTCGTGCTTTGGCAGAGAACCCCAGCAATCTTCTTATTGTTTACGAGGACATCATTGACCCACTTAATTTTAGAGCCCTTCACTCCCAGGTGTTGTAGCACACGCTGTACAGACAGCGCTGCAACGAAGGGCAAGTGCAGCAGCAGCTGCTGCTGATTCTGTTTCCACGGCAGCAGATACGTTGCATGCAAGTTGCCAGCAGCAGATACCCAGCGCCGTTCCTCCCCCGTGTCTCCTCGACGAGTCCCTACTCCTGCAGTTTGCTTTGCTGCAGTGACACATAGACAGTGACCCCCAGTAGCTAGCGCTTGCTTCTGCTGCTGCTTCTGCTGCTGCTTCTGCTGCTGCAGATGCGGCAGGAGATGTGCGCACACCAACTCGTCTAGATGCCGCTCCGCCCACTTTTGCGTTGAGTCCAGAGAGAAAAATGATAGCTCCGTGACATTCAAAGATGGCCTCCACACATCGCGAACCTTTGCTGCAGATACTGGGACATCTGCTGCTGCTGCTGTTGCTCCTGCCGGGCAGAGACCGTTTCCTGCTGCTCCTGCTGCTGCTGCTTTATGTGGGGTTGCCCGTGGCGTCTGCATGATCTGACGATGCGGCTGTTGCGCTGATGCTCCCAACGGGCGAACTCTTGTGGCTGCTGTAGCTGCTGCTTCTGCTGATACCGCTGCAGCTGCTGCTGCGTGGTAATTCGACGAAACAACAGCGTTGTTCGGTCGAGGCCTCAAAAAGGAAAAACTAGGGGCAGCGTCGCGCCTGCTGCAGTGCAGCAGAGCCTGCAGCTGCTGCTGCTGCTCAGTATGTGGGCTAAGCTGCAAACCGCATGGGGAAGTACCCCGGGAAGTAAGCCCAAGGAGAGGGAAAGCGATTGTCTTGCTGCTGCCGCTACTGCTGCGTCCACGCGTAGGGGAGATGACGCTGCAGATGACCTCATGAGTGCAAAGATGCTGCAGCAGCAGAAGCAGCAGCCAAGAAAGCTTTATCCCGTTGCAACTGTGTAGCCGCAGTGGTGCTGTGGGCGCTGCGACTGCTGTTGGTGGTGCTGCCTCTACTGTTCCTGCACGGTACACGCCGCGACATCCTTCCTCGTGTCGAGGCATCAGCACGAGACGCCCATTTCATGGCTTTTTGCCGATGCTTCCGCGTGCAGAAGCTTCAGCAGCACAAGTCGCAGAAGCCGGCTGTCTCCGCCGCACCTGCCTTGTCTGCTGCTCTCCTGCCTCTGTACCTAGGGCTAACGCCTGAACATTGGAGAAGCAGCTTCAAAATAAATTGAAAATTGGGATGACCTTTCGTTGCTGCTGCAACACGAATGCAAATGCACCGGCTGCTGCAGCTACCGCAGCTGCTGGCCCCCAATGGGGGGCGAACGAGAACCGCCTCCCAGTACTGGGTGTAGCATCAACTACAGGCTAGCAAGTACTACGCTCCGCCAAATCTTTGGAATACTACCTCGCATTTTCTACGTTGGTGTAGAAGCCACAATAGCAGCAGCAGCAGTGGCGGCAGCTGCTGCAGCAAGCTTCGAGTCATGAGAAGGGCCCCTGCCCGTTACGTGGAGCTTGTCTGAGTAGCGGCAACCGCACCAACTGCACTGAAATTAAGGGCTAGCCGAGTCGAAGTTCAATTTAGGTTTCTTGCTCCTGCTGCGAGACCAGTTTAGCAGCAGCAGCAGCTGCGGCAATTGCAACAGGTGTATTTCTGGTCAACGGGCCTATGCATCTGCAGAAACGAGGGATAGTGAGCATCCCGTGAATGCGCTCGTCTTTGACAACAAACGAGTGCTCTACAGAGGGGTTTATCAAGTGCAGAAGCAGCACCAGAATCGCAGCGGCAGCCACTACAGCGACAGCTGCACCAACAGCAACAGCAACGAAAAGAACCACCACAGCAGTAGCGGCTACAGCAGCAGCAGCAGCAGTAGCACCAGCACTTAGAGGTGCATCGGAGGCGACAGCCACAGCAGAAGCAACTACATCAGGAGTACCTGCAAAGGCACAATCACATATTTGGCCCTTTCTAGGGATGAATAATCTTATCGGTAGAGAAAAGAGCTCAGACGCATCCAAGAAAGAAGACTTGCGCAGGGATGCAGCGGAAGCAGCCGCAGCAGCGGAAAATGCAATAGCAGAAAACACAATGGAAGCAGCTACAGGAGTTAAAACGGATGGCGGAGCTGGGATGCCCCTCACAGGCTCAACGCGCGCCAGCACACGTCTAGTTGCGCCTCTCCAAGCAAAAGCGCCTCCAGAACCTGAAGAAGCACCGTCGCTTAGGGCTGTAGAAGCAGCAGCAACTTCACCTCCTGCAGCCTCAAAATCTGCAGTTGGGCCTTGTGGTGCATTAGGGGCAGACATAGAAGCTGTTGCTTTACCTGCTGCCGCTCGATGTATTTGCACAGACGATCCAGTGGGAGACCTACTGCAGCAGCACCAGAAGCGGTCGTTGCCTTCGCTGCCGCTGCAGCTGCCACTGCGGCTGTTACTGCCCTACGCGGTGCCCTACGCACCAGTGAGGGCCTGTAATGCTGTTGCTTCCAAGAAACCGCGAAAGCAGTCTCAGCTTCAACCGCCTATGCCGGAGCTGCGGAACCAACTGCAGAGGGAGCAGCAAGAGGAAGAGCAGCAGCATCAGCAAGAGCAACTGCAGCAGAAGCACCCAGAAGAGGAGGCGCAAAAGCATGAGCAGCAGCGAGAATGCATGCAGGAGGACTTTCCCACCAGAGGACAGAAGAATCATACCGTGGAGCAGCGACAGCAGCAGGAGAACCAGGAACAGCCACCTCAACAGCAGCAGCTGAAAATGGAAAGAAAGCAACAGTACAACCAGGAACAGCAGCAGCAGCACCATAATCACGTACAGCAAGAGAAGAATGTACAGGCAAAGCAGCAGCAGGAACATGAAAAGCAAAAACAACGAAATGTGCCAAGGAAGCGCCAGCAGAAGGTGCACAGGGAGCAGCTGCACCAGCAGCAGCAGCGGCCACGTATCGCTGTTTACACTGCAGTATTACTGCTGGAAGAAGTAACAAGCTTCTGTGAGCAGCAGGTAACCCTTGAATCGCTACCGCACGCGTTGAAGGTGCAACGTAAGAAGGCCAACAAGCGACAGCAGCAAAAACAGCAGCCCCGGCTGAGATTCTCTTCTTTGGCTGCTGCGTTGGTCTGGCTGCAGCAGCAGTTGCAGAGCGAGGGAGCCCTCCTCCCAGCAGCTGCTGGTTGTCTCTGTAGCAGCTATAGGCACGCATTCGACTGTGTGCCCCAAGCACCGACAGCAGAAACAGCACCAGCACTAAATGGAGGAGGAGCAGATATATCAGGGGCGACAGAGCCTGCAGCAACAGCTGGCGACCCTTGCGTCTCGGCTTCCATCTTAAAGGCTGCTACGAATGAAGCGGTGGCAGCGCTGCAGCTTCTGTCTGTATTTAGAAGCTCGAAAGTAGCAACAGAAGCAGCAACACTGCGGCTAGACGGTGGCGTGGGTGCACATGATGCATATTCATCAGCGGCAGCAGCAGCAGCCGCGTGGGCTGCAGCCGCCTCAGACCCTCCTCCTTTGCAGCACAGCAGCAGCAGCACTACCTCTACAGACGTGCTGCGTATTGCAGCCGTTGGCTGCAGCTGCAACTGCCCCGTGAAATCCCATTGGGTATCTTTGTCTGCGTGGCGTTCTTTTGTGCTGGCTTCCCACCCTTCCGTGAGATTATACGATCTCTTGCTCTTTGCTGCATCGCAGCGCCGTTTCTTTTCTGCTGCCGACTCATCTCCAGAGCCGCTACAGCAGCTCATGGAAGCATCTGCTGTGGTTGCATGCATGGAGCAGAAACATTTTGGCCCACCCCTATCTGGTGCCGCTGCGGCCGCTGCTGCTGCGGACACTGCAATTCAGTGTGCGGCGGCTGCAGTCCGAGAGCTTGTGAGTGCTCCAGGATACACAAGCAACAGCAGCAGCAAGAGAGTCGCGACATGGCTTGCTGCCGCAAACCCGTTTGCAGCGGCAGTAACACCAGGGAGCTCCGGCAGCAGCACAAGCTGTGTCAGACAACAGAAAAACCAACTGCCAGCGTGCTTGCCGTTTCTAGTTGTTTTGCCTGAAGAGGATTTACTGGGGAACAGTGGGGTAGCAGCAGCAGCTGCAGATGCTGAGCGAGCCTGGGCCCTTGGGGCCCCCGGTGCCGTGCCCCTTGTTGCTGGCAGTACGTTCTATAGTGCACCTTCTCAAGATACCGCAGTTGGGGGTCCCAAAATGCCCGCCAAAATGAGCAGGAGCAGCAGCAGCAATGATGGCAGCAGCATCAGCAAAGACACTGAGTCGCAGCAAGAGGCATCGGGTTTTAAGGCAAATGTTGCCCCCCGTCCAGGGCTACCGGAGCTTCGCTGTTTCTCTTAGTTGGATACGCCGCAAATGTGTATTCTGTGCCTGTTTTTGTTTTCCTTCGGTTCTGTTCCTATCTGCGGGCTTTTGCTGTTACTTGCGTCTCTTGGCTCCGGTTCTTCGTATGTCTCCGCCCAGCAGTTTCTGCTGAAGCGATCCAATGAGTTTTCGTTATGGAAAAGCAGTAAGAGAGAAGCATGTGTTGCTTTTCTTTGCTCTGGTAAGTTTGCTGAAATGCGGGAATTTTCAGTAGCAGAAACAAAAACAATAGGATTGGTTTCGAAAGCGGCAGCAGCGGCGGCTCTGAATCTGTATCTTTTGCATACGTCTATTTGGTCCAGCGGATTCGTTGTTGCTGTGTTTTTTGGTTATTTGGTGATTTTTTTGTAAGTCATTGAGTCCGCACAGTAATTTACTTCCGCACGCAGTCACGGGAGCAGCGGCAGACACACAGCGCACCTGCAAGAGCTCCGGCCAGTTTCAGAGGGCCACAATGCAAGGGACACCTTGTCCACAAACACTGGTTGTGCTCATGCAACTAGTTATTATGTTTTTCCTTGCAATAAACTTGGGCATACGGACAAGTACATTCAGCAGCACACAGCCCGCACTGTGGCATTGTGGCTTGCCATTGCAGCCGCTCGAAGTATAGTATATTTGCATCTACGGGGCACTGGGCGCTGCGCCCGTCTTCCTACGCCTGTTTCTTTGATATTTTCGTGTTAACAGCTTACATAGTGTGTGCCGTCCCTTTCCAGCGAGGACACGTTCTAGCAAGGCAAAGCCACTGCAGGAAATGGCAGACCAGGTGACTGCCTCAACTTCTGCTTCTGGGATGAGTTACGTGATTAGTGTCCAAGGCGTTCTTGGTTCATATCAAGCTGCCAGCCCTCTTTCTGTTTCCCTATTGTGGGACACCGTTGGGCTCTACGGCAGGCGCACTTTTCCTCCAAAAACTCGAATTAATCCTATCCGTGCTTCATCACGCGACGCCTATGGCAACGTAAAGCCTTACTATAGAACTCCGAGTTATATCTTTCATCGTCATCGTAGCACGCAAGAGCAACACTGAACAACACTCTTAGGGAATGCAGGCAGCCAGTGTGGCGAGCTCCAGCTACCTGCTGTGACTCGAAATTGTGATGACTCGTTCGCACATTTGTTCTCAAGACGTGCGTATATTCACCCCATCAACAGCATACCTTTGGCCCCCAAGGACACCTCTTCCGGGCTCGTCCCGTTGCTGTTGTTGGTGTCGGGCTGCCCTGCCTACGCAGCATTAGTTAACTCAAGCCCGACCTAAGGCTGGCTCCTAGCTTTTGTACTGATTAAGTGGCGGCTGTTGCACTTATGGGAGCTTCACTGTTGGCAAAAGCAGCAACATCACGAGCAGCAGCGAGAGTCCCTGAAACAAGAAAGCTGTGTCTTCAATGGGGCCTTCGCTCCCCATGTTGGGAACACTACCTACTCAAAAACAGTTAGAACAAAATTTGGGGGCTTGAGGGAAAAGAAGGAAGAAAAAAGTGGGCGAGGGACACAAAAGTCATGACTGGGTCACCTGAAGCATCACATCCGGGGGATCAGGAGCCCACTGAAGGGGAGCCCCCCTTCCAATGTCTTGCTACTTTTGGTATCTATTTTCTATCCCATGATTATGTCATGTGTTTTTCTGTTGCGTTTCTGATCAGCGCGTACAGCATAAAGCTCCACGCAGATAGCACAAAACACTGGGGGCCCCCAAGACGGACCTCAAACAATCTGTGGGGCCCCCCTGCGATCCCTCTGTTCGATTCGCTGCCACTGTTATTATGTAGCCATTTCAGTTGCTTATTTGTCGCATACTTAGTGCAATTTGAATGCCACCTATACGTTGGGGTCCCCTAGGGGATCCCCGTCTACTTCCAAGAGGGTCCCGATTCCTTGTCGGGCCTCATGTGAGCCTTTCTCGCCAAAGGAAGAGCCACAAGTATTCACGGGGTTTTCACTTTAATGCCCTCTCATTTTCAGCTCAAAGGGGAGTCCAAGCAGCCCCAGGACTTCCAGGTATCTCTGAGATCGGGGTTTTCCCAAAGATCAGAAGCTGCGCTACCGCTGGTACTGCTGATGCTGCTTCAGCTCGCTCATCAGCTGAAGCGACCTATCCTACATCTGTAAGACCAGCAGAGGGGGAAGAGGGCCCTTCCGGCGTCGCTACTGCTGTCCTGAATGCCTCAACTTTTCTCGCGCAGCTAGTAGGAGCAGCGGAGGGGGGCACGCAGCAGTTTCGGGGAGTTACTGCACTACGAGGGGCTCTTTCTTCTTTCTCTGCGGCGGTGGAACGAGCAGAAGACACACTTAAGCCCTTTACTTACAACTATGACGTAACAGACGCAGTGCACGGCAGGCTACTTAAGCCAGCTACACCCGCAACGCCGGCAGCAGTAGCAGCAGCAGCAAGCACGGTTAATGATGCTGGGGCCGCTGCCCGCACTGCCCCGGTGCAGCTTCAGCAGCAGCAGCGGGCGTGGAAGTACCTGGGGTCTCCGTTTTACATACTGCTGCTTCAGGCAGTGCACGCAGCAAAGGCAACACGAGGACTAAGTCCGTCACCCACGCCCGAAGGAGTCCAGGAAGCAGCAACAGCGTCTGTGCCTTATGTAGGAGCAGCAGGAGGGGCAGCGTCCCTTCTCACCAGTAGCAGCAGCATCGAAGCTGCTGCTGCAGAAGTTGCTGCTTTTTGGCAGCTACAGGTTGCCAAGGATTTGCGGCGCTTGCGCCACGCTGCGGAGGCCTTGCAGCAAGCAGGAGGGTCGCCAACTGAGGACCTCGAAGAAAACTCTTCTGCTTTAACAGGAACGCCAGCCGCTGTGCACTGTTTACCGCAGCAGGATGTGGATGCAGCGGTGCTGGGGCTTCTCTGCAGCGCAGCAGAGGCGGTAGCACTACTCGCAGAAATGCAAATGAAGCACTCAGTGCGAGACGTTGTGCCAACATTGCTTCTGTATGTTTTCTGCGGTTGCCGTTGTCTTTGCGGCTGCGGCTGCTGTGCGCGTTTCAATGAGTTGATTGAGCATGCATGTAGTTTTTTGCCATTCGTCGTTCCAGATATTGAGGAGTAGCAGTAAGGTTGCTGGCTCCTCTTGCTGCTGCGGTCGCAGTTACGGTTTCAGCGCTTGCATTGTTGCACCATGTACATGCCTGGGTAGCTCTGAGCATCTACTTCATTTTCTGGACTTATGTGCTGCAGCGTTCTAGAGCGCGTTCGGCTCTCGCGTGAACGCCGCCAGGGCCAGCTAAACCCGCAACTGGAGGAGCAACAGAAGAAAGATGGACTGGTGCGGCAGTGTGAAGCAGAGGCATCTCTGGCAGCCTCTGCAGAGGCAACGGCTGCTACCACAATAACGGCACGGTCACCTGCATCACAAGCACCAGAGGCGGGAGTAGCAGCAGAGGCGACCATACGGTGTCTTCATGCGCTGGGTCGCTGTCAGCTGTTTAGCGAAAAGCTGCTGCAAGTGGTGTCTACGGACCACATTGCTGCTGCTGACGCCGACTCTCTTGCCCTATATCTCTTTGAGTGCGGACGCATGGGCCTACGCTGCAGACGCTGGATAGGTACTTTGCTACTATGGCTTTTGTTGTGGTTGTTGAACTTGCCGAGAACGTTTATTATCACTGCAGTTGCTGCTGAGCTGCTTCTCTGTCGGGCGTCTATGAGGCCTTTAGCCTTTGGGGTGTGATGGCACTACAGATATGAGCTTTCAAAGGGCGCTCGAAGCCGTGAACTCTATGTCTGCTCCTTCTTTGCTACTGGCCTGCGCCGGTCTTTACCGCTTCTGCACAGAGTGGAAGGAATTTTATCTGCGAGCAGCTCCTCGGCTGCTTAATTTGGTGAGTCACTATCTCGTGCAGCTGCCGCCTCTGCATGTTTTTCTCCTACTCCCTAGAGTTGAGAGCTGTGCCGGTACACCGTGCCATACTTGCAGCATATGCTCCCTCCTATTAAGCGTGATCAAGAGCCAAGGATTTTTCGTTCGTTTGTGCAGTTGAAGCAAATGGATTACTACCAGCTACGGCTGATGCTGCGGCTGACGAAGCACCTCAATCCTTCCTTGAGTGACCCTCAGCTATGCCTTCTTTCCAGAGGCGCCGCGCGGCTCTTGACGCGTATTATTCCTACTTTAGATCCTCAGCAGCTCTGCTGGTACAAATGAGAACCGAGGCACCATACACGGACTATGATGATGCCCTTGCCAGCCTTGGTGACGATTTCATAGGCGGCTCTCGTGCTGCTGCCGTGGTCGTTGTGCTGCTGACGTTTCTCGTGCCGTCGACGTTGCTGCTTTCCGCCGTTGCTGTTGACTTTTCCCTTCACTTTCTGCTTCCAGCGTTTTCTTTTCTGCTCTCTGCTAATGCTGCGACTCTTGCAACTGCTGCGGACGTGGGTAGCTATCTGTCCGTGTCATCGCTTACATCTGCAGCGTTGCTACTTTTGTAGAGAGGCGGTCCACAGATACTCCAGAGGAATACGGATCTCTCACGCGATCTCTCGTGAGCGCCCTTGAGGCCACAGCTCCAGTGGATATATCGTGCGCAGTCACGCACACGGGTGCAGCTATTTCAGCAAGCTCAGCGGCCACTGCAACGGCAAAGCTGGCGGAGAGCGCAAGCCTAGCTGGGGACCCTCTGTCGCTTGTGCACCCTCTGCACGACTTAGTTGATGTGGTTGATTGTCTGGCCTCTCACGGGCTGCAAAGCTCTCTTGTTCCTCGCATAGAGTCTGTGCTATCCGCACGCTATACAGGTGAGCCCAATTTCACGCTAGGCGTTGAGAGCACCAGGGATGGGGACTTTGTCAACAGCATTAACAGAAAGACACTAGTAGTTGGACAGGGCCGCCTTAGGACATTAGAGCAAACCGCGGCGGCGTAGACACGGTGCAGCAGCCGGGAATGCGTGACTAGCAGCAGAGGTAGACAAGATCGGCACAGACATCGACGGGACGAAAAAAGGCAAGCACAGACAGAGACGAACAGAGAGAAACAAAGACAAAACTAGACGGATACGAAGGACCGCGCGCAAGCAGATAAATATTCAGATTATAGAGAGCAGTTTTTGTAGACACGTAGGGAGCCCGGTACACAGAAAAGCAAAATAAGGCAGAAACCGCGACAAAAGATACGGAGTAAGCTGCTAGAAGGCTAGCACACGAATTCAAAGCAAGGAAACACGGTAGGTACTGGCTTAGTTCAAGAAGAAGGGGTGCACTGCAAGGATATATTGCAGCTCAAACTGAAGCCTTCGCTGTGAGGACATAACCATTTGTAGCCGCTGCTTAACGTGTGTGCCTGCTGTTGCAGAGATTGAATACAGCGTCAATTTCACCCTGTGGCTTATTTGTCTCGATGCCTTTTCCAGAGTCGAGGGCCATTATCCTCACCTGCTGTTGCAGCACATCTCCGACAGTATCTGCAGGACTCAAAACAATGCTAACTCCAGCAAAAGCAGCTGCAGCGGAGGCAACATAGGCAGCGACAGCTGCAGCAATGCCGCAAATTACAGCAGGTCTAGTCTCATCGATTCTCTGAGCGTCCTCCAGAGGCTTAAGTTTATACAGGCCCTTACGCGCCTTTCCTTTCTGCCCATGCCAATAGTCCAGGTGCCCCCTTAGGCAGGATTCATGTTCGTGTGTGTGTAATATAAAACGGTTGCGGTCTAGTAATGCTAGGGAATCAAAATGACTCAATACCGCACTCCGCACCCATAAAGCTCGCATTAACGCGCAGAGCTGCGACAGCAATGGCAGCAAGCGTGATATCAACAGCGTTAAGCTCTTCACCAGCATTTTTGCCAGCGTCTGCAGGAGCGCTAGGCGCCACATCCACATGGGCAGGAAAGTTCATTGAACCGATGCTTTTGCTGTTTGCTTTCGATTTGCCGAAGCTGTGGTGCAGCAGCGTGGAAGGAGAACTAAATTTATTCCGAAGTCTGAGAGACGCTATGACTTGCGTTTTTCCTTTGTCTGTTGCGGTGTATATACACCCAGTGTTGTTCTCTCGTGCATTCCGATTTGTGGAGAACCGATACAACAGAAAGAAACCGGCATCGGGACTTCTTGCTTCGGACAGGTGCGGTTGCTCATGCATGCGGCTTCTGTTGCTGTCGCTGGTGCTGTGTGAGAGGTGCCCGAATGCTTATCTTGTTGGGCAACGTGAGCCTTTCCTTATTGCGTAGTTTTGTGTGGGTTACGCATGCCTCCCTCTATGCTTCCGCATCGTCGCTAGGGCTAGCCAAGCTGAATGTTGCTTGGCTCCGCGCCTCTGTGCCGTTCTCTTGCAGACATCTGGAGCCTCTGTTCTTGTCACATCTTTGCTGGGCGTTTCTTGTGGCGGAGATGCACCATAAGCCTTTCTTTTCCAACCTTCTGAACATGGCCTTGGCGCAGATGCCGCTCAGAGTCCATGGCTGCGTTGCTGCAGATGAGGGGGTCCCCTCCCTAGACCAACAACTACTCCAGGTGGCAGCGGCAGCCCCCTCCGAGTTTGCTGCCGGTGGACCTGCGCCGTGGTGCATAAAAGACATTGCTGTGATAAGGGCAGTACCGCAGAACAGCACAAGTGGCTCATACGCTGCTGCTAAATGTTCGGGCGTGACCCCAGGGGATCTTGCTGCGCCCGCAAGGCGAGCGGCGAGCGAAGACAGCTTCACTCTAACTACTCTTGATTGTATCACATACCGTAACCACTGCGATCCTGCAGTTCTGCTGCAGCAGGTTTGCCGGCTGCTGCAGCTTGAGGCTCCGCAGGTGGAAACAACGCTGGAGCAGCCGCAACAACAAAGCTTTAAAGCTTACTGTGGCGCTGTTATTAGATGGAGAGGGAGCAGACAAAGTTCTCTTCGGGAGCTTCTTGAAGAGGTTAAAGGTGAAGGGCAGTATTTGTAGTGCCATTCCAATCGCTATGTGCCGTTTCTGTGCCGGTGTGCGTGTGTGTGTGACATTCTGTTTGAGTCTGTGCACCTCTATTTTCTTTCGCTTTGTCTGTTTGTGTTTTTGTCTTAAGGCGTCTGATTGTTTAATGGTATGAAAACACATACTTATTTCGTACAAATAAGCAGATACTCGCCCACATTTGTGGGCTGCGTTCTCTTGGTCATTATCATGCTTCGCCTTACACAGCAGCGCGTCTTCCATTCATCGAGTCATGTTCGCTGCCGATGCTGCAACTGCAGCTGCTGCTGTCACTTCTGCTATTTTCCGTATGTTGCAGTTGCGGCAAGCGATGCTACACTTAAGTGGAGTGTAGCAGGGGAAGGTGCTATTCAATCAGCTGCGCCGGAGTTTGGGCATCAGTGGCCACTGTCCGAGGTGTGCCTTTGGGTCCAGGGAGTACCGCTAGTGCTCCTGGTTGAGACTGAGGGGCTATCGCTCAGTGCCAATCCTGAAGATGCAAAGAGAAATTACAGCACAGGATACAAGTATTTGCTGCTTAGAGCCTTCAGAGCCCTGGGTGTTTCCAAGGTGAGAAGACAAGTGGTATAGGGCTGCATTCATTGTGTAGCTTTTGCTTTGGCCAGTCCCCTTTATGTCAGCTATTTCTGTACCATAGTCGTTGAACTTTGTGCGCAAATATCACGTGCGCAAATAGCACGTTTATGCTAAGTATTCTTACATTCTATTGAAACGGCAAGCTTGGCGGCACAAAATTTTTGACTTTTTTCTTACGCTTTTCATCTCCTTTCACTGCAATCATTAGTGCTATTGCCTCGTCCGCGCACACTACGCAGGAACCTTTGCTTCCTTAATAGTGTTACAACGTGAATCAGTGCTTGCATCTCTAAAATTTTGGCTTGCTTTATGCAGGCGTGTCTCACTGGAAGCTGCGATGCCTGCTGATGTTTCTGATGCGTCGCCTGTTGCTGCTTACAGATCCTCTTCATCAACTCTCAGGAATGGCAGAGAGCCAAAGGACGGCAACAGAAGGCTTGTTTGCTCCGCCGAAAATTCGTCATGTGACACACGTCACGGTTTAAGGCCCAAACTTTCCACGAGTGCGAAAAAGAACTCGGTTATTTTTCTAGCAAATTTGTGTCCTTCAACGTAATCCTTAAGCAAGCGCAAGGAAGGGACGCGCGCAGTGCCCAATATATTCACTCTCTAGCACATACGAATGCTCCAAAATCTGCTAACAAGCTCGATTTTTTATCTTAGGGCACACATTTAGAGCTGTGGGAGCATCAAGTACTACGAGCGCCTCCCTGCTCGCCTGCGGGACATGTTTGCATCAACTCTGCGATGCAGTACTGCTACTTGTGGTGTTGGTGAGGGCGATTTAGGTTACTTACGGATGTATACATGGTCTGGCCTAGAGATACTTTCATGAAGGCAATGCGCTTTTCTTTTGCGGCCTGTTTCCAAGCCACATCAGTGCTCTGTGCTCTCTTAGAGTGTATTTGGTGGCATCCAGGCCACACTAGTGTCCTGAACCTGCAATAGTAGTAGCTGTCCACATTGACTATGGAAGTGCTATCTTGCATGTGCCTTCTTTCCTCTGCTGTCTTGGCTTTGTAGCTTGGAGCGTCGCGCCTTGCTTGGATGTAGTATACATTCCTCGGGTCCGTATAAGGCTGGTGTAGGATCTCAATACTAATAAGGAGATTTATGTCTTTTCACCTTCCAGCTTAGCATCGGTACGTTGGTGGACGTCCTATGTACGTGTATTCGTGTAACATGAGAAACAGCAATAATTATTTGCATGCTGAAAAGTATTTCTAGGGGCTTTGCCTAAAGCGCTTTGCTGAGGCAAGTTTCTTTTGACGATTTCGAGCTGTGCCAGCTTTTCTCATGAAGTGCATCAAAACTCCTCAGACGCTGAGTGGCCCAGTGATACTGCAGAACTACACTGTTCTTGTGTTGGCCACTGGTCGTGCTGGGGGCGCTGGGGACGGCCGCAGGGCCAAAGTTAGGGAATAACCTGGCGACTCCAATTTGTTGCTGTGTTGCATGCTTAACATTACGGCCTGATAATATCCTTTGATAGGTAAAGTCAAGGCTCGAGACCCTAGAGGCCACACGTTTCCTTTTGAGTTGACAAGCCTACGAAAGACTAAATGAAGCAGAGCCCATGCGATTCCTTGTGAGTTGACAAGCTTATCTTAGGATAGAATATATGAAGATTGGGTAAACGAGGCGTGCCTTCTTAGCTTAGTCGGTAGAGCATTCGCTTAGTAAGCGAAAGGTCGCCGGTTCGATTCCGGCAGGAGGCTCTCACGTGTCTTGCAGTTAATTCATTCACTTCTTGGAGTTCTTTGTGCCACTGATATTTCTATGTTTAATGAACGTGGGGTTTCTTGTAATCTAGAGAAATATAAATTCTTTAAAGGAGATCATAACGGTCAATACTGGGAAAAGCGAAGAGGCCACAAATGTTGATGTGATGCACAGCTGGGCAGCCTGCAAGCAGCGTAAATATGCCTCGTTAATTAATTAGTAGACCTAGGAAGAAATAAAAGGTCAGATGCCGGAAAGACTAGAAATAAAGGAATATAACAAAAAATATTCCCTGGAAACGGAAGATGGCGGTGAGAAAGCCTTCCTCCATGAAAGCCTCCTGCCGGAATCGAACCGGCGACCTTTCGCTTACTAAGCGAATGCTCTACCGACTAAGCTAAGAAGGCTGTGGGGTTGTTGCAATGCATCACCTTCTTTCCGCATAGTTTAGTGCTCCCTTGTGAATCGGTGTTTTAAAAGTAGATTTCGGATTACATTTTCACCAGAGGATTCACCATTAAATCATGTTAAGACTTTTCTTTATGTTGGCCCCATCAGACGACGGTTGCAGTTCAACGGTTGCAGTTCAACGCCTGTAATGACCAGCCGGGATATGGCTAAGAAGCGTTGCCTCATAGTAAGTCTTCTCTTGTTGATTCAGGTT